GCAGGAAATCCTCACCGATTTTTGGCGGACGCTGCGTTCCGGCCCTAAAAATAATACCCAGTTTAATACCTGAATGGTAGAGGATTATGAATATTGAACGGCACAAACCCCGAAGGGTAAATATGCAGGGTTGTTTATCCTGGGTGGCGACCTTCCGTGGAGAAATGCAAGCGGCCGTCCCTTCCTTGTCGCTCCAAGTCGAACGTGCTCTTGAATTAGCAATACCCATTTCCGGGCAAATATTAATTTCCGGCATTCTTACTAACCATTTCCTGCCTTTTTGTACAAATAAATTCTATTTTTTATTAAATTCACTAATTTCGTGGTCCGCTTGACCAATTATTTTTTATTGCATTAAACTGTAGTGTTTTGAAGTTCTTTTATATAAATTTTATTTTTAATGCTAGCATTCGGTATTTAATAATGTCAGAAATACAGTAGAAAGTAAAATAAAACGATAATGGAAACAAACCTTCTCTTCAGTTCACTAACGACAATGGGCTATAGTTTGTTTTAACACAATAGGGGTATTCACAATGTTTGTTAGATATTAACTCGTGCTAATCGAGAAATATCCAGTAAGATCGTGAACGCCCCATTGTTTTCTTAGTATGTTAAATGTTTTTTTTTTGTAATGCTGCGTATGGCAACTGGTAGATCCAAAAAGAATGCTATAACTGTACTTCAAAAGCTTGTTGTTGTTTGTTCTGGTTTTGTTTTGTGTTAAAATGTAAGATGCCAAAAATTAGTAAAAAAGGAAAAGTAAACAACTGTTTCATTCAAAATGCTATCTATGCACCCGAAAAGTAATAAATTACATGATTCAATTCGTGCCGACATACATACCTAACTTGTATCCTAAAGGCAAATGGCCTACTACTTTATAGGATAGGTTCCTTGTATCCACTGTAAGGAAGGTCAGAAATTAACAAAAGAAATATATTGGTCTGGTTTAATTAATGCGTATTTAAGAATACAAATATATGTGAACAAAAAACAGCTGTTAAATTCATGGCCGCCATGTTTGTCACCTACGCCCTAACGGATAGCAATGTGACTACATTTTCGACCTAACATCTAACATTGGCCCTGGCCTGTTAGATCGAGCAATGTTAACTAGCCGATTCTTACAAGTCTGCGTCATCATTTTTGTCGGTCTATCACGCCCTAACATAGTGAAGAGGGTTAACACAAAGATCGTGAATACCTTTCAATTTGATATGGTTTAGCTGTAGGTTTAATATTTGGATTTTAACATTGTCATACAAGCAACAAGTATGTTGGTATATGCTATTCGTGGTGTCTAGTTACCGTTAGTTACCATCCCTGGTGTGATGTAGGTTTTAGAAAAACATTTTCTTTATCGTGCCAACGTTTCGATCTTTATTGAGATCATCTTCAGGGCCTTGTGTTGTCAGCATTTCAACAAAAAAACTTCTCTTCTTGATAGCTGATGCAAGTTTCTTCTCATTGTTGGCGATGTCCTTCAGAATATTCTTTGCTTTTTTTCTTAGCCAATATAAAAACAATATACATACGTACATACACTCTGTACGGCGTCAGATGAAGAAGGTGCGCATGTATGTACAAAACGTAGCAGAGTTGACCTCATATAAATCAGTGATTAGCATTTACTAGTTATATATTTCAATATATCTTTTGTAGACAATTCACGAAGCTAAATCGACAACTTCAGTAGTGTATATGATGACATAACTGAAAGAGAGAGCTATAACAGTTGAGCAATTGTTTAAAGCTGTAAAGAAAATAACAAAATTATTAGATACAATGTAATATTTTAGTTATAGGGAGAAATTGATATAGCTGCATTAATATGTGACATCGACGTTTTTAAATGATTAGTTGTTCTACAAATACGGCCACATTTATTCAAAGCAAACTTTGTAGCATTGTGGAAATAAGTTGGCAACTTTTGTTTTTTACTTTAACTGTTTTATTTAGATAGGGCCGGCAAACTACATTGGTCTTCGCCAGCCCTCTTTTCATTAGCTTTACATTTATTTCTTTTTTTATCTTTCTCGCGTTTTAAACCTACTTATGTCTTTTTCTGTTTCTCCAGCTGAGTTCCGATATTTTATGGTACAACGGTAACCAACTCTCTCATTTCTTTGTCCTATTGCTAGTCTGCATGTATCTCAGGGCCTCGTCAATTATGGATATTAAGACAAATAACAAACACAAATACATAGAAACATAGAAACGAAAAAAAACATAATAGTCTGGTTAACATTACATTCATCCTACTCAATTTTTATAATTTGTAGTACATTACAACTACCTTAAAGTAGGTAATAAGTAACAGGTAATAGCAAGGTAATTGAAACAAAACAAAATTAAAACCAAGAGTGGAGAAAACACCCATTGGTATTACTCCAATGTTANTGTATATATATATATATAAAGTTAAATAACTTTAACTGCGGATTCCTTTTTTTTTAAACTTTATTTGAAGTTACAAGAACAAATTTTAACCTAATTTAACGATGTACTCTCGTCAAGTTCTAGCCAGGGAATCGCTATTAAAAATACAGAATTAAATAAGTAGGTCACTTGGGAGGGAGAAGTTACTGACTACAATACTAGGAATGACACCTGCATCTAAGTGTTGTAAACAGATAATTTCACATAACATATATATATATATATATACAATATATATATATATACATACATATTTTGAACCATTATAGAACAAATTTGACGGCCAATCTATTAATTGAACTGAAAAGTGTTAAAGGAATTGCAGTTTATTACTACTTGGTACAATGATCCATGAATATGAAGTCTTGTCCTGTTTAAATAAATTTAACAATCAAAAGGGCTAGAAAAATTATGCATATTGTTCCATCACACCTAAAGCAATTTAATTAAAAGCAATCAACCCTAGTTGGATTATTTTATTTATTTTATTCAGATTGCATGTTTCTTCCCTATTTTATGAATTGTTGTGCATTACACGCTCATCCTTGTGGATGATTCGGACATTGATCGATTGTGCTCGAGTAGTCACGCTATGTCTGTGTAGGGACATGTTTTTTATACTCCTGAAAATAAAATTAGAAGACAAACATAAATGCAAGTATAAAACAATACTATTTTTAGAATGTAGATTTGTTGTAGTGCAAACTATCGATTTTATTAAACTATCATAAACTATTTCTTTGAAAAATCCATCGTTTAATTTGTTGTAAATTTCTCAGAATTGAAGTGTTACAATTACTACAAATGGTAAAAATCTAACCAGTACATTAACATATGTTTTAAAACTTTTTATATTTGCTAATCAGACCACATAACTCCAAAACCGAAATAATTACATTTACTCATCGTAAGTCAGTTATAAATAAGTAGCCTATCATGTTTATAACTCTCCAGGTAGGTAAAGACTATGAAATACTAAATTCACTAATTTCGTGGTCCGCTTGACCAATTAATACATTACAATTAATTAAGGTTTTTAGTTGAGATGAAAAAAAGTTAATGGTACGAGCGGGATTCGAACCCACGATCTTCGGCTAGATACGCCGCTGCTCTACCACTTGAGCTATCGTGACCTCGATCCACTCGGACATCAACTTCCTATCTTAACCTCACCTTATGAGTTTTCCCTCCTTTTTGCCATTTTTCAAATGTCGTGTAATCGGATTGGATTCTCGAGGACAAATGAAATGACCACGGAGAGCTTAAGTGAAGTGTACTTCATTTTAATCATTAAATTCACTAATTTCGTGGTTGCTTGACCAATTAATACATTACAATTAATTAAGGTTTTTAGTTGAGATGAAAAATCTAGCCGAAGACCGTGGGTTCGAATCCCGCTCGTGCCATTAACTTTTTTTCATCTCAACTAAAAACCTTAATTAATTACTATGAAATACGTTCCTCAGTGGGTTCTTAGATTCGGAATTAAAATTCCGATGACATGTTGATAAACAATATGAACATTTACATACCGCGAATCTATTTTGTTATCACAAGGAGGATTTAAAATATTACAATTAAAAGTATAAAAGGCTGAAACAGAAAATATTTGACATTAAACTGTGATATGTAAATCTCACGAACACTTTGGGTCAAGGTGTGGTCTTGAAATAAATAGAAAATTCAGTTGTTACTGCCAAGCTTTCGAGTTATTGTAAGGTCATCATCAGAGCAAAATTAATGATTACAACGGTTTCCATACTGTTACAATTCTTGGCAATATTCAGACTGCGTCGGTCTTCAAAGTAATTTGAGGTCGTCTGTAAAAAAACTTATTATTATGAAATATGTCAATCTGTAGAAATAATTTAAGATTGTTTTGCCCTGATGATGACCTTAAAATTTGTCGAAAGATTGGCAGTAGCATCTGAATTTGATGTTTTCTACATGACGATACCGTGATCAAGTGTATTCGTAGGTGAAAAAGTGGTCGATACTTCATACATTGAAGATGTAAAACTTAGTTTCGTTATTTATTTGATTGTAATTATTAAATTAAATTTTAAAAATTGAATATTATATAATTGTGTATTTATTGTTGTGCTTTGCCTTTATGCCTTAAAAAGGTTTTGTTCAGTTTAGTTTTATTTATTATGTAAAGTCATCACAAATTTTAAAGGGTTTTCTTAAATTTTTCGCTAATTTTTTACACTTATTTTTTTATTCTGAAACCATTGTGCACATTATACAACTGTTATGTTAGGATGAAGAATAAACATTTTTAGAACTAACCTTTAAATTGTATATTTGGATACGAAATATTTTCACTTTCTGGCAATAAAGATTATTATTGTATATGTTACTTCACATTAGAGGTGTACAATATATAATTTCCACATTAAAATCAATTTTCAAAAATATTTTATGAACCTTGTTTATGAACCTTGTCTGTTATCATATATTCATTTTCATTTGATTTTGTAATTCAGTTTAATTTTTATGCATTTCCAGATATGTTTGTTATTCTTTTCCTAAAATTTGTCCTTTTCTCGTTCCAGTTCCTCCAGAAATTGAAGTCGAGAAGAGCTGGGTGCACACAGGCGAAGGGAACGAGGCCCAATTGGTGTGCATCGTGTTCGCGGAACCGGGTGCGGACGTAAGTAAAGTTTAATATCTATTCCAAATGCCAAATCCCAACAAATCCTCAATTAGGAAAATGATAAACGTTCAACTTGTTATACAAAATCCAGTAGAAATTGCTATAATTGAAAAAATCGACCTATCCAAAACAGATCAATCTAATATTAAGATTTTTTATTAATAAACACCGTTGAAGTTTTTTAAATATTTAAAGCCAAAAAGCTGTTATATGTTAGATTTGCTACTTTCAAAACAATTCCTGTAATTCATGATAGATGCAAAAATTATTTTATAACGCCCATACAAAAAAGTACAAGATTAATAGACCTTTTCCATTAGATGTTATAAGTGGTTTTTCTATGATCTTTTTAATAATTTGATATGTTTGAAGACATTTTTAATTTTTCTTAATACTTTACTAAGAAATAAAAATGGTAAGTATATATTTTACAATGAGTAAAATTTTTTTACCACCAATTTTAACTGTAAAGCAAAGACCTTACCTATTCCAACTGTTTACATCACTTAATGCATACTTATTTACTCGATTTAACAAACCGCCAGTATTTGTATAAAATTTATGTAGGAACTAACGTATATACTTGAAATAATAAAACTTTTATAAAATGTCATTGATTGAGAAAGAATATGTAACGTAATATATTAATATGGAGTCTGAGATGTTCATTGTGCTTTTACGAAATAACTAGCTATTTAAAATAAATTAACTTACTTTTACATACCAGGTCATAAATATGAATATAAATAACACCAAAAAAGTTTAATGACTGAAACGTTTTTATGAATCTAGGTGTAAAAACATTAAAGTGGATTAAATCGTTTTAAAGGGGCTTTGGAATAATTGAATAAAGTCTAAAGTATATACAAAATATTAAACTGTGTCTACTCCCTCAATAAACATTAAAAATTAAAACATTTGTCTTTGAACTTATTAACATTTTACAAACCCTTAACTTAAAACTTATTTAATAAACTAGATGAAAAATAATTTGTAAATAATTTTAACTGTACAGTTTTTAATTGGTAAATCAAATACAAGAAAAATCATGTAATTTCTAAATTTACTGACTAATTTTAAGATAGTTTTAAAAAGTTCACATATCTAATCACCAAAAGCCTGGAAATTCTAAATTATATTTGTTTTATATAAAAACAAATTTGAATATAGAAGTATATGTATTTAGCATGTTAATAAAAACTTCTTTTTTTGGTTCCTTAATAAAAACAAAATATTTTCCATTCATAAATAGCGAAATAACAATATTAATTAGTAGAGATAGAGACATTGTTTAGAATGGTAACAATTGTCAGCATATTTGCGTTGGTCTTAGATTTAATTTACATGTATTAAATAAGCTATTTATTTTCAAAGCTGTAGTAGGTCGCATGTATGGCGAGTGGCATCAATTTGGCGGATATTCGGTGGATCACAATTGTAACAATTTATACGAGACAGCTTAAAATACACTAATTATTTATTTTAATGGACTTTATATTTAGTAACGATGCTAATACATTTCGTAAATTTTAAAGGAATTATACAATAAATTTACAGCAAAACGTAAGACGTAAAAAATCAATGACTGCAGTAATTATAACCAGCAAATATGCAGTAATGAAAAGTATTGAATAAATCACGTCTTGAAAATCATCAGCCGTTTTACGATTTTATTCTACTAGTGACAATAGGAGGTGAGAAATGCAGACGAAAGACAATCGATAGCCGCCCCTTGCATTGTCTGGCGTCCTGGCTGTTTTATATTCTCCGCCGTCCTCCCCAGGTGCAAAAGTTCGAATTGCACGTCGGAATGGCCCCGGACGAGGACGATGCCGAATGCATAACCGCCCACGATCCCCCGAAGAATTGATGCACCAACTTTATTCAAATCCAGTTCAAGTTTTCCCCGGCGAAATCCTGCCGACTCATAAAATTATATACCGAGCCTATTTTTTAATTAATTTATTTTGTCATTTGAGTAAAGGACCGTACGGGAGTAAAGTAGTAATTTCTCTCTGCGGATGTCTTTTTAAAACTTAACTTAAAACCTTTATTGTTCACTGCCAATTTCCTACTACAGTAGGTAATCTGAAATGGGTATACGGTCAGGTCAACCTGAATTGTAGGCCACCGAGGTTATTATTCATCAGATTAAAATAATAGATCATTAAATTTTAAGGCGTATGGTAAAATGTCGGTTGTGTCAAATGCAAACCTTCAAGGACGTATTATATATACGTTATTTTTATGATGTTTGCCAACAATCAATACTCTCTTGTAAGTAATATCAAAAGTGCTTGCTTATAATGTTCGACAGTGTCGGTAAATTTTCAATGAATTCTGTCGCAAAACAAAGGTGGTATCCTACGTAATTTTCGTCATATCTAGACTCAATTAAATACAATTTACAACCGTTTATAATGGGTCTGTAGGGATGGAAGGTAAGGACGGGACTTTTTTTTTAACAAGAGAAGGATTCCTTCAACAACCAAAGCCAAGTTTTGAAACAAAGTTTGATTGAAGTATCAAATTGATACAATAGAAAGATACTGAAATATAGTGAAATTAGTAAAACTGAAAAAGAGTGGCTTGCCCTGACCGCGCGGCGTCGGCATGAAAAAATGTACAGAGGAAATACATTCTTTGGAATGTAGAAAGGCTCATAGCGACCAACAGTTGGCCAATAACGAGGTGCTATAACAAGTTGTAAAATCAAATTCAGGCGCACAAATGTTCGAGTACATGCCACCGAGAGTGGAGTGTTAAAAGGTCGCCTAAGCACGAGGAGGATGAAATAAAAAATAAAAAAATTGGGGAAGATGAAAGAAAATCATGGCTCTCCAGTGGTGGTATGTTGATAGCTGTCAAAAACATCGATGCCTCTAGAATTATTCTACTCCCTGTTTTCATATAGAAGAGTGCTGGATTTCATTTGAATGTGAACAACTTAGGCAAGATAATTATTGACCCGTATTACATACCAGTGGGTATGTAATACTCCCTACCTTGTTATGAAAATTTATTTTCAAATTTTGAATACGGTATTTCTCTTAACGACAAATCTCTCGAATGTCTCGTTGCTGGCGACTTTAATTTTCCATCCGTAGGAAAGGAAGGCATTGTGCTAAGCGAAAAAAATAAATTCTTCCTAGGATTTGTTCAGTTGTATTGTATGCAGAACTATAATATGACTGTGTGGTGGTTAGTGACCGTTAATCAATATTTGTTTAGAAATCGTGAGATGCGGTCTGGTGTGATGTTAGGTTTCAGAAAAACATTTTCTTTATCGTGCCAACGTTTCGATCTTTATTGAGATCATCTTCAAGGCCTGGGATTTACAGACCTTGTTTACATATAACAATTACATTTTGGATATGGAAAAGTGAATTTATACAATGCAAAATATATTTTTTATATATTCAATCAAAGTATTTCTACTCACTCAAAGTGTTTGTCTTCTGTGTAATTGTGCCATTCTTGCGTGTCGTGTCGAGAGTGCCACTGAGATTTTGCCATTTTGTATTTATATACGATGATTTTGAAGGGGTGGGGAAGGATGTCGGTATAGAAAAGTCATTTTTGTATAAAGCGTCGGCTTCTTTGAGGTGAAAAGAGCCGACGAAGGGAAAAAATGTGTTGGTAATGGTTCAGTCAGATTATCCTTTCGGATTATATAGAAAGGGATAAAATAGGAAAAAGAAAGCTAAATTGTTGGGAAATTAGACTATGTGAAAAATATTTGATGTGTGGAATGTAATGTGATGATATAGGTTATCTGTCTTGAATTTGATTAATGATTTTGGCGTAGTTGCGACTGAGTTCACATGTATCTGTTTTGTAATTGATGCTGTGTTTATCTCTGTTGATATAAACCATTTCTAAGAAATTACGTTTATGTTTGTGTTGTTCTGTGTGTAATACTTTTGGATTTTTGAAGTCGAAATTGTGTTGGTGTTCAAGGTGTGTAGCGAGTGCTGTAGAATTTTGCTTAGGTTTTTTGCAATCATAGATATGTTGCTTTACTCTCTTGTCAATTTTGATGTAAGACCAATGTAACAGTTGAAACAGTTGATCTTGTAGATTACGTCAGATTTATTTGTTATTGGTGTGGGATCTTTAATTTTGGAAAAAAGTGTTTGAATTGTTTTATAATTTTTGAAAGCTATTTTTTTCATCTCAACTAAAAACCTTAATTAATTGTCATGTATTAATTGGTCGAGCGGATCACGAAAGTAGTGAATTAGATATTTTGAAGTTACAAGACAAGAGAAATGTGTTTAATTTATGTGATAGGCCTTGGATAAATGGTATGGAAATGTATGCTGGTTTGTTTGTATTCGAGAGACTTAATGTAGTATTATTAGTAATAGTGGATGGTGTTAGTGTTGAGTTGTAATTGGTCTCACTGGCACTCTCGACACGACACGCAAGAATGGCACAATTACACAGAAGACAAACATTTTGAGTGGGTAGAAATACTTTGATTGAATATATTAAAAAATATATATTTTGCATTGTATAAATTCACTTTTCCACATCCAAAATGTAATTGTTATATGTAAACAATGTTTGTAAATCCCAGGCCCTGAAGATGATCTCAATAAAGATCGAAACGTCGGCACGAAAAAGAAAATGTTTTTCTGAAACCTACATCTCACGATTTCTAAATAAATGTAATATGTCTTCTTTTAAAAATATTGTTGTAACAAAGAATGATCAGCCTGTGGACTCTTATACCCCGTCTTGTTATCTTATTGCTAGTATTAACAACTAGAAGTCCAAAGTATGGTTACAACAATGTTAAAAATTATAAGGATTTAATTCCTATTTTTCCAGAATTAGGAAGATTTTTTAACTTTTGATAATTTAAAGGAAATCTAGATATTTCAGAGTTGATGATGGATATTGGTAGCCTACCAGCATTGGTTACTTATTGGGTATAGAACCTTGATATGTTCTATAGTATAGTTGATGTAGGTATAAGTAAGTTCGTTCCA